ACCAATAGGGGTATGTAGATTGATTTGGCACCTTCTGGCTTATGGGGACCTAGGTAGGTGGTATGTTGTTTGTACATGCTGATCTTATGGGGGATTGGTTAGGTTGTTGTTTGATCATTTTTGTATTTTTAGATTCAGTAGTGGGTTAGCATGCTTATCTAAATTTTGATTTCCTTACCTGATTGTTTTTGGTGTATTATAATACTTGCTCATTTAGTCTCTAGCGTTTCATACTTTATACATTATTTCGTACTGACACCCCATTGTCTGGGGGGTGCTATATTCATGCGTGCAGGTCCCGACAGATGACCCAGTAGACCTCCTCAGCAGCAGGATTGACTTCTATCCGGTTGGCCATCCCCATTCCTCCAGAGCTGCCAGAGTTAGGAGGTTTGTTAACTTTTGTTGTATATATTTTTATGGGTAGGTTGGGGGCCTATCCCGCCAATCTTTACTACTCTTAGAGGCTTGCAGACTAGTGTGTGGGGTGTATAGCTACGTTATGACCATGCTGGCCTAGTTTGTTGGTTTGCTGAAGCTTGTGAGTTGTTTGATGTATTGTCTTGATATATACCTATTATCAGTTTTGGTATAGAGATCATAGTGGCCTCGACGGCCCAATCAGGACTTCTGTGCTAGTTGGCTATTTCTTTATATGAACTCTTGGGAGTAACTGTTTCTTTTATAGATCTGTTGACAAGGGCCTTGCCGTACAAGGGCTTAGTTTTAAGCCGAGATATACTTGTTTGTTTTCTTGATTGCATGTGGTTGCCATGCGCTAGTAGCAAATAGTTCAGCAGGGTCGTCTCGAGCTTGAGTTTTTGCATTAGGAGCCAGTTGTGCCCCTTGAATTTGGGGCGTGACAATAATTCTGAAACTTGGGTTATATAGAACCCTCATTTGCTCGGTGATATGTACTACTCCCAATACATACTATCAATATAGTTCATAACATATCTATTAAGCTTATATAGAAGCTTATCATGAGTCTTGCTAAAAAATCTCTTTCTATAATGTCTTGTTGTGAGACTATACTCAAATCTATGAGACAAATCTCAAATATTTCTTTCTAAAATCATATGTAAAATCTCTTTATAAAACATATATTTCAAATTATGATAAAATTTTCAGAACATGCATAACTTGTAGATTCTCAACATAGTTTTCATAATAACATAGAGACTCTAAAATCATGTTTCAAAATATAATCTTCAAGAATCATAGACAAAATCATGTCAAGAACTAAAAAGTTGACTATGAAAAATCTTGTGAAGAATAAAAAAGAAATGCAATAGTTAAAATTCATAAATCATGAGTAAGTAATTCAAGAAATCATCCACTTGGGTCATAAAAAGGGTTAATCTGAAAGTGGAGCTAGAAACCCTAACTATAGAATTTAAATTCATAAAATATTGAGGAGTTTTGAACATAAGGATGAAAGAAATACTTCATTGAAGTTCTACATACCTTAAACTCTCCATAAATCTTGATGGAAAACTCTAACAAGAAGAAGAAGGTCCAAGAATTCAATTCTTGAAATCTTGATTGAGCTTTTGTTGAAAATCCTAGATTTCTGGTGTAGGATTTCATTAATAATCTGAATAAGGATGATTGAAATACTTGAAATTATTTAGAATTTCATCGGATAAACTCGCCTTAGAGACGAAGGATGAGGAAAGGAAAGAATACAAGCCCTAGATTTAAAATAATGAAGTTTTCGAATGAAAAAAGGACTCAAATAGAGATTTCCATCAATGCCATGTGTCCTAGACGAGGTGCCCTCTGCACTTAGCATTGTGCAAAATGCACAATATGATGTGCAAATTTATCACCACCCAATCCACTAGGTCGTGCGGTCACCTACTCTAACACCTAGATAGGAGAACTCTTACCATCCAATTTGTATTAAAACATAACATGCGGAAAATAAATGATTTACTACAAAAATTTCATTAACATCACAACTTGAAGGAAAACACCACTTTAGTAAAACATTTTTACAATAGACTGGAAAAGATACCCCCAAGGATCTAGTCTAAACAGGTACAAGACCTACTAAGAGAGCATAGTTTATACACAAAAATGAGACAGCACTCTCACCATAAGAAAGCAAAAGTGAAAGCTGTTGGAGATCATCATCATCTTCGCCTATGAAATGTCACTGACCTTGCAACCAAACTATATCAAGGGGGATAAACAGAGTAGTATCACTACAAACAACACAAACTGGTAGGCATCATCGGTCGATCCAAACCTATCACATAATATAATGTATATAATCAGAAATAACCATGAAATAAGGAAGCTACACCACCCCATTTATCTATTCACATACTATTACCCCTTCCCGGGTAAATGTCATAACTAATTCACCTTGATCCCATGCCTCTTAATAACACCATCCTAACGCCTAATCATAGCTTAACCTTTCTACCATATTAGTATCCATGAATATCAGGTCATCACTAGCCTTATCCACTAACCATTTATCCTTTCTCCATTTCTCATGCAAACTCACTGCCCCCTTTGAAAAAGTACATAAAACTGGTGCCTTAAACCTACTCATCCTACCAACTAAACCCAAAAGCATCTATATAATAAAGTCATGATAAATAGAAACATAGTTTAAAAACAACTAAGAATTGAGTCCTAGTAAACTCAACATCATAGTTATAACAATTATGCAAAAACCACCCTAGGAATTAAGTTTGTCAAAAAACAAATAACATACCTCAACCATCACAAGCAACCAATAGCCTAGACTCCCAGAAACCGAGACAACTCAAGGATCTAACATGCAACAATTATATCATGAAGAAGTAAATCAGGTTCACCCGTGGAACCATAAACACATACTTGGTCCTCTCATGGAACTCAAACTCAAATTGTTAGTGTACCGGTGTGGTACTTGAGCCATAAATTGTTAGTGTACCAGTGTAATACCAAGTCAACCATATGTGAATATCCTCATACCAGGTGTGGTACACGATCCAAGCATTAGTATATATCAAGAGTGGTATCCGAACCAATCGTTAGAATATACCAGACGTGGTACCCGAGTAAACCATTAATATATACCAGGTGTGGTATCTAAGCCAACCATTGAGATATCTTATATCAGTTGTGGTACTGTTACACTCCGAAAAATTCTAAGTTAAGACCCTAACTATTCTTCATTTATATATAAGGCCGTGCCAAGTGATACTTAATTGTTCTTAGGTGCTAAGGTCAATTCTTTAGTGTGAGAATGATTTTAATATCAATTAAGGTCACTAGAATCTCCTAGCGCAAGAATTAGATTTTGAATGGAATTCCTTTTATCCATAATCTTTGCATGTCTTTAATTTTGTCTTTCTTGATCCTCAAAAGTCCCCAAACTGATTTTACTGTGAATTTACCATTACTGATTTCAGTCCGCCAAGCATTATCAACTTTATTACTAAGATACGCAGGATGCAAATTTGCCTGAACATGGTCCACCATATATTCAAGCACAAAATCTCTCATTTTTGTATAGTCACATCCCTCCTCTTTTGAAAATTCAACAGTATCCTTCATGGTAACAAGTTTGCACATCTGAAATATGTATTTGTTGGGATCCAAGTTAGACCAGTTGTCATACCATATAGCAGAAGTGTCTCCTCTAGATTCCCACCACATATGTTTTTTTCAAAAGATCTCTATTTTCCAGCATGTGCTTCCATATTTGGGAGCCTCCTTTCCATTGAACTAGTGCAGAAATTTGCTTCTTACAATACTTAGTCCACATAAAGTTAGACCATATTGTATTATGTGTTCTGAAACTCCACCAAAGTTTTATATACATAGCTTTTGATACATAAAAATAAACTTAAATCCTAGACCTCTTTCATTTTTAGGAAGACAAACATCTATCCATTTGGACCAATGGTTAAAGATACTACACTATGAAAAAACTAAAAGACAAAATAAAAAAATTGTGTGCTACTAAAACAACAATCATGACTATTCTCTGATTTTTCACTTCTTTTACCATGGTTGATCCTCCCCCATAGCTTAAACATCTATTCGTCTTATATTTTTTTCGCTACTATTTGGTTATTTTTTTCTTTATTATTTTTCCACTTTTTTATTTTTATTTTTATTAGTAAGCTTCTAGGACAAATAGTCCTTACTAGCAATTTTACGTTAAATAAAGTGTGCACTCATAATTTTTAAATTAGAGTGTTTAAAATCGAACCGTAACCGATAAGTCAATTGTAGAATGGTTTATTGACTTATTGATATTAGGTTACCGAATAAATGGTTGGGGAACGAATTAAATTTTTATAATTAACAGCTTATTGGTGTGGGGACGGATTATTCAATTTCCTTATTGGTAAACCTTAACCCGTTAAGAATTATCATAATTACATTTTTATTCTAGGTATATTAGCCTCATTTAATATTTTACAATAATATATAAGAGTAATTATATATTTTTCTTTTCTTATTCCTAACTCCTAAAGGCTAAAGCCGTAAAGCCACGAAACCTATTTACTTTTCTATAATTATCTATTTTTCTTTAAAGAATAGAGCGCGAATCAGCTAACTCAAAAAAGTATTGAGGATATATACATGAAAAGTATGCAACAATTTATCGAGTCATTGGCAAAGATGCTTCAACTAGACAATGAAAATGTGACAACCAGTTAAAATTCTAGATTAAATTTATCCATTTTATCTTGTTACTGTTTAAAAATCATCCTTTTAGTAAGGTGCGTTCATAAATAAAAAAGGATACCATAGAGATTAGAGGTTAACTGATACACTCCGCTAATCTGAAATCAAACTAATCGATATCTTATAAGTTGGCTAACGAACTATTAAATTTAAAAACTGATATCCGATAAGCCAAACTTTTAGGTGAAATTATCCACCCAATCCGTAAACCGTCATACCTTCAAATCCTGAATTCGTGGTTGGCTAAAGATAGTAGTAAACTATTAATTCCATTTCTTCAATCTCAAATAAAAAAAGAAAAATAAATTGTAAAGTGGAACATTCATGCAAGTGCTGCTTAAATTTCTACTTTCTAACATATACTATGCACACTAAAAAATCATTAACAAATCTCCTAACTGAAATTAAATAATTGATACAATGAAAAAGCAAATGCAGAATGTATCAACAATAATTATCTGCTCGTTGCTGCTATTGATTGATAGTGAAATTGGAAATTATTACCGATTTGTCGAGGGAGCACAACGGACCATTCAAGTTTCCGACGATCTAGACGACGTCGTTGACGATGAAGAAGACGAGGCTTGGAGAGAATGGGGAAGGACGAAATCGACTAGCTCCGATTTCGATCCACCGCCGACGGATTTTGGTACGATGAGTCCGTCGGAAATTCAAGTGGAAATGATGAAGCGGCAGCTGGGTCCGGTTTTTGGGTTTGTTAAACTCCGACTTGGAACTCGTCGGACTCAGGTATCTCTTGCTTTACCTTCTTTTTTTGTGTGTTGATTCCGATTAATGTGATGAGTAGTGACGCGCTAAATTGATTTTCCTAACTAATAGTATTGAATCTAGTGAAATAGTTGTCTTGCTGAAAGAGTAATCTACCAATTGCCTTTCAATTTCAAGTTAGTTGTACCCATTTTGCAGTGGCGGATGCATAGTGACCAAAGATTTATATATGAAAATTTCTGAAAATTAGAATCTATTTGTGTTTTGAACCCATATTTACATTGAGTTTTGAATCTTTTGAATATATAAGATTAAATGTTAGATCCATCTCTAATCATTTGGATGTATTTGGGTTATATAAGTAGAGTGAGAAAATTAGTTGACAAACTGCAGAATGTGGTAAGATCTGAAAACCTCAAGCAACTTGTTGGTACTGGGTTCATATGAACCTAGTACTTTCGATGGGGAGTATAAATTTATGTGTAAAAATGATCAATAAAATCGCAATAGTTAATTATATGAACTCATAACCTTAAAAAAATATAGTAATTGTTCAATTTAGAGCATCTAAAGATGGAATCCCATAAGCTTAAATCCCTGTTCCGCCTTTGATTCAGGTTGGGTTGAGAATAGATACATCTGAGTTTTACATAACACCTCATCTGTATTTAAAAGTGATTTTTTAGTATTACAATGATGAACCTAGATAGAAGGGAATAAATGTAGAGGATTACTAAAGCTGACTTCAATTGATTTGGATTGAACCATAGTTGACTGAATGGAAGAGTGTATATAGTTTGCAAAGGAGGGTTGGGCAGGATTGCAAAGTAAATTGTATGGTATTATTAACTGATATTACTTGTTTCCAGGAGAAAGTTTCTGAAATAGCGATGAGATGGACCAAACTAGCAAGAACTGGAGCAATTGAGGCAAAGTTCATGAGTGTTGATGTGAGCACAATCATGTTTACTATGGAGAAAGGTCAAGACTCTATAGAGGTTTGCCTTACTTCCAAAATATGATGTTTTATTCTATAACTACTAGCTTTACCTATTGATCCTTGAAACAAAGAGTTGAATATCAGAACACTTGTATAAAGGTCGTTGTGTGTCACCACCTCCCACCTATCCTACACAGTCAATTGAGGTTGTTATTGCGAAGCAACAGCTAAGGTTCACAGGGTCTTACCGTCTAAGCTGTTGGTACTCCATAGTTTCACGGAGAATTTCATTTCGCTTGGTCCATGTCTGAGACAGCAAGGCAGTCGTTGCACCATTCAGGTCAAGGGCTCTGGTTTTGCTCTAAATTTTTAGCCTTCTAAATCCACCCTTTATCGCATGGTTTTACTTAGTTCAATTCTTCATCGATATGTTAGTTGGTATTTGATAGAATCACTAGTTGTGTATACTAGAATAATTGAGACTCTCTTACTCCATTTTGCAGTTGAAAGAGTTTTTGTTGGACCAACCAGAAGCATATGAGATTAAACTAGGGGACCAACTTTTTCGAAGACCAGGAGATCCTCCTTTTGAAGAAGTATTTGAGAAGATTCAGAGGGAGAAAAGCAAAGTCGATCATACCAGCTCAAAGAAGAATAGGCATAATGAGTTGTAATCACCAGAAAAGAAATCTTGACAACTAATTTTGTTCACTTATAACATGTATTATCAGGAGGGTAGATGTAAATGGCTGGCATCTTACATGTTCTTTTTTCGACACACACTTGACACTCTGCTTACAAGCTATGCATCCAAATAACCAGTTAATTCTTCTGATGTTCGATCATTTAACATCTTGTACTGGGAAATATCTTTGTCTGAGTAATGGCGCTTCTAAGGGAATGATTTTGTTTAAGTTTCTCCATGTCTTTCACCAATTATGATTTATGAATGGAGCTAAGGGACTATCAATAGTACCCTTGTAGAAGAGGACAATTGACATCCTCCATAATGTCCTAAAAACTGGATCTGTTAGATGGTTATATGACATTCCTAAACTGTGTGCTGCTCATCATAAATTATTTTAATTCAAACATAATATAAACCATCCCACAAACTAGATTGTGTATACATAGGGATGACCAGAGCAGGCACAATGCTCAAATCCATAATTCTGTAAGAAAAGATTATCGATAACGGAGGATATTGCAGTAGACCCTCTCAGCTTTTAAAAAATGCAAGTTGAGTGAAAGAACACAGGATCATTTCAGCTTATTGCTGAAGTCAGAGAGCTCGAGAACGCGAATTCTGGAAATGCCAGCAGCTTCCTCCCTCTCCTTTTGAGTATTGTAACCCCAGTCCCCTGCTTCAAGAAATCAGATCAGCAATCACTACAACATTGCAAATCTATAAGAAACAAAGTGAGTATGATAAGTCACCTAGATACAAGTTCCATCCATCCAACTCGGACTCTTTAATCACATTCTTTAAAGTAGCAAGCCGGTCTTCCACAAAGCTGAGCAATATTCAGAAAAAGTAGACACTTAATTTCACGCGGTAGAAGCCAAATGGCTATTCAAAAGAAGTTTGAGTAGTTCTTATGCTATGAAATCTTACTGTAGTTTCAGACCCTGGTGTTCTGGCATTTCCTGAAGTTGCTTAAGCACTTTTACTTTAGGTCTGATTAAAAAGAAATTTCATGTAAGCATGAATATGTGCTTGAATAAGTAAACACTAATTGACCATGTCTTTTTTTTTTTTTTTGATGACAAGGAAAACCCGCAGCCGCTACCCTTTGGGTGCGCACAGGGTAAAACCCTCGCTCCTATGCAATAGCTCGCAAACCACATAGGAGAGGTAACCCGCACTAGGCAAGCACGGTGCGACGAGTTCAACCCAGAAGGCAAACTCCTTGCTTTCGCTGGCAAGGGGTTTCGAACATGACACCTCCAACATGAAAGTCCCAAGGCCAAACAACTGGGCCACACCGAAGGGTAGACCATGTCTCTTGATATTGCAGTTAGCTTAATCCAACTTCGCGTGAAGTAAACTTACCCTGTGCCGAGACCAAAGATCCTTTCAGCTGGAATAGTTATCCCAGCAATCCCTTTAAGTAATGCATCTGCAAAGCGGCTCTACAAATGGCAGTGGAGTACAAATATTAGATTCAACGGCTTATCTCAAGGCTCTTAAGAATACAATTCCACTTTCATCAAAAACAACCTAACGATTTAAAATATAAAATATCACTTGTATGCGTGGTGAATATTTCAGGATAAATTAGTTCGAAAGATTTTATCTTTAGGTGAATGTGCACATTCTAACAAACCTGCTTCGTAGTGACTATATAAAGCTTTGAACTTGCAAATTTCAGTGCATCAGGTACTCCAGGATAAAACCTGTATAGAAAGCATAAACTTTTTAGTATTTTTCCAATACAGTATATTCTTTGACGTGATTGAGTACTACCTTTAAACAACGGTGAATTTATTGTGCAATTTATGGAGCACGTGAGCTCATAGTCTTTCCACAAAATTATTGTCTTGAATTGATCTAATATTACCTGCTGGCACCCATGCTATTAAAGAGATTAATGATGTACTTGGTTTTACCTAGAAGAACAAGGATCAATTCCCACTTAATGCATTTTTTTTCTCTTTTCTTTAGTATGCACTCAAGTTCTTGAAATCTTAGATCCGCCTCTGACCGTAAAAAATAAGTGATTCTAGAGAATGACAATAAGATGAGCACCGACCAACTAATAGGTTGTAGTACTACTCGGAGTCTTAAAAGCTTATCAAGCTAGGAAACTGACAAGCAGATAGATTTAGTTTGTTTAGGAGTACATCATTCAATATAGGTAGTCTATAGTGTTCGTTTCTCTGTTTTTATTTAAGTTGGTTCAGTGATTATACATAAGCCAGAGATTAGAGCTAGTCAGGACCCTCAAGTGGTTGATTCGATCACACAGGCATAATCAACAGCTACACTTACCTGTTTGCACCTATCCAAGTAGCCAAATCATTGTCCATCCATTCATCTCTAACCTTACCGAAAAGATCTATAAGAAAATCTTTGTCTTCATTCCATTCTGCCATTATAATGGGTTTAATCTTTGCCCAGTTCTCAAGTATTCCCTCAACTGTTAGTCCCTCTGCAACCTATCACATTAAGAAAGATATCACCTCGACGAACTTTATGATACATCAGCTAGAATGAATAGATTTGTGTCATCCTATCCAAGACACTTGTATTTTTTTTGTGTACCCACCGAAGACTTGCGAATAGAAGGGATTCTCGACTCCAAGAGCAACCTCACAAGTAAGAGATTTTCATATCCAGTTTCCACTACAGGTCTAACCTGCAGAAAGTTTGAAGGTTGATCACTTTCTGCAACAACAACAACAACATACCCCGCATATTCCCACAAGTGGGGTCTAGGTAGGGTGAGTGTACACGGACCTTTCCCTACCTTTGGGTGGAGAAGCTGCTTCCAATAGATCCTTGGCTCAAGGAAAATCATTTTTTTTCAGAAAAATAGTTCGAAAGAAATGCAAGAGTAAAAGTTGTGATGATTAGCACAATTGGCACCCGTATATGGATCTCAAATATCATCGTTATTAAAACAGAAAATAGTTCACTCGCTGACAAAAGATTTACTCTGACAAGAAGGAGATGATTACGGACAACATTCACTTATTAGAATAGTATCTGTGCAATTATTACCAAATGCTATTCAAAACACTTCTGCTCAAGTAATTAAGGGATGAGAAATCAGTTCATCCCTTAATATGAAAATCAGTATTTCCCATATTGCAAAAATAGGAAAATCTGAGATTAATCGGTGTAGCAGTTTAGTAATTGTAACTCCACTCTGAACAACTTTGACGGAAGATTCAACAACAACAACAACATACTCAGTGTAGTCCCACAAAGTGACGGAAGATTCAAATATTTCCTTATTTCTCTTCCTTCTACTTCCTTTCCCTCTCCTTATTCACAAGGTACCCCACCCAAAAGATAAATAGATCAGAGGAAAACCTGTTGCTGAGAGTCAAAAGCATTGAAGTTTCAGAGCACCATCAGCATTTCAAGAATGACTCACTTATGAGTTTGAAATGCATACTTCGCCTGGTTTTTGCAATTTCATATAACCCAGAGGTCCACTAACTACATCACTGATTTCAACAGTTCACAGGATTATACACACACGACACACCAAGACTACTAACCTCAGGGGCGGATCTAGAAGCCAACATATTGGTTCAACATAGGTTTAGTTCAAACTCAATATTTATATTAAGAAATTCACTAAATAAGTTCAAAAAAACCCAGTTACTAATACATAATACCATCCTAGAATTTAGAACCCATAAAGTTCAAATCTCGGCTCCACCTCTGACTAGCCTAGTTCAACCCCAGATGAATATGCTAAGAACATTTAATAAATCACTTACGGCCATGACGTTGAACTCAATGTGCGCATTCCAACACCCTTTATAGTAGTGACTCATCTCATGAGAAAAGACTTTGTTTTCTTTCAAAGAAGCATGCTTAACACAACCTATTACATATATAAGCATTCAACACATATGTAAACTAAATCAGGGGCAAAAGCATGTCCAAATCCACCACTACCACAAATGTATCTCCTTCACATGAACAACTTTTCTTTCACTATTTCACCTGTAATTTTACTTTCTAAGGAAATGAACAAAGAAAGAATAATACTTTGACAAGCTAAGACAAAAAGATTAAAAAAAAAAAAAAAAAAGAACTTTACCACATGCATCTGATCTACAATCCAATCTTCCAAAGATGAGTCCACTCCATTGAAAAGACTAGGCCATCTCACTTTAGCAGCCTGCAAAACCAACATTTTTTTTCAAAAAAACAAAATTGAATATTGGGAAGCAAAAAGGGGCAAGTAAAGTGATGACCTTAACAGCAGAAAGAGAGCTTTCTCCACAGCTATCGCAGAGAACTCCATCAAAATCCAAGGCATACAAATCCCCCATTTTTGTGCCAGTTATTGGCTCTGAGGTTGTTAAATCTAAGCCTGTGTGATGGAGGGTCTCTTCAATACCCGCCAATCAAATTTGATCAAATACATTTTGACTCAAACTGACAGCTGATTTCTTGTAAGATCATCGTGGGCCTTATTGCCCTTGATCCGACCCGAATGACATGGCTCACCCGAATTTGGAATTAGGATGTATTGGGTTAATTAATCTGAATTCATGCCGAGTAAAGTTTTATATCAAGTTATTCTCTATTAATCATTGACAACTTTAGGGCTGCATCTTGGTCTTTTTTTTTTATTTATAGTGATTTTTTACTTCTAAAAATACTGGCATTAATACTATTTGAAATGACGGTAACAAGAAAATAAAGTTAACGACTACGATAGTTAAAATGATATTTTTTGAATACTTGTTTGAAAGTTTGAGAGTAAAGATAGAGATACAAGTTGTATAGATTCGTCTGGGCGAGAGATGAGAAAGTTCATGATCTAAATCAAGTGAAGTGCATCAAGGACAAGAATGACAATTTTTTGATAAAAGAGACACACATTAGAAAAGATAGATAGATATTTTTCATAAACACTTAAATGAAGAGGGGGATAGGGATATTGCATTAAGGAGTTAGAGCACTTTGAGAATCATAGAAAATTTGAATTTTGTAGATGAAAAAAAAAATGCAGACGGTGAGGAGGCGATCCATAAGATAAGGAGGGGCAAAGTCATTGAGCCACACGAGATTGTAGTGAAATTTTGAGAAAATATAGGCAAAATAGGTATGAAGTGGTTGACTATATTGTTTGATATAATTCTTAGGACGACTAGAATGTCAGAAGAATGGAAATGAAGTACAATAATTTTGTTGTATAAGAACAAGAGAAA